TTTGTCAACCCAATCTGTATTTATAAAACCTGAGCTATCAAGTCTTTTATACATCCAATCTCGATTTTCGTGAAAGTCACTCATTCTGAGAAATTCAAAAAAATAAAATTGACATACTATTAAGTTATAGAATTCATTACAAAAAACTAAAAAAATAAATATAAAAGCACAAGAACTACAATATTCAAAAAAATACATAATACGTACATAATCCTCATCTAGCATCTACAATATCTAAAATATGTTATTAATAAGCATAATATTCATTCACTAAAAGTTTCAAGCATATAATTAAGTTTTTTTTTAAAAAAAAATGATAAATTTTTTGGGGAAAAAACCCTAATTTCAATAATTTCAAATTTAAAAGAAAATGTCAAAAGTTTACACATAATAATATACTTTTTAATTATATCATCAAACAATAATAATTGTTAATTCGAATGTAAAAAGATAATCTATAGTCTAATTTGTTTACAACTTTAAATGTAAAATAAAAAATGAAAAAAACCTGAGATTTGAAGATGGAGTGAAGACCTGAAGATGACCGGACAGCAACGAGGACCGGCAATTGATGGTGGCGGGCGGAGACGACGAGCGGATGGCGCGGCGGCGGAGGTTCGACGACGATTTGGACAGCAGACCTCAGACTCCACGCGGAGACGACGATTTCTGTCTGCAAATCGGGGTATAGATCTGTTTTTGAAGCGACGGAAAGTAGCGACAGATATATTCCGTCGCCAAGCCAAAACGCAGCGTTTCAATAAAATTCGGTCAGCGACGGAAATTTTCCATCGCTAACATTAACGACGGAAAATTCCGTCGGTAATTCCGTCGTCAAAAATGCCGCGTACAACCTCCCGCCAATACTGAGCGACGGACCTTTTTTTCTGTCGTTAGTTTTGGTTGGAGTACCCTTCCGTCGCTAAATCCGTCGCTGTTAGCGTCGAACTAAATTCCGTCGCTGCAATCCGTCGTTGTTTTGGCGTTTTCTTGTAGTGAATGTATTTTTAGAGCTATACTTGCTGAAGTTGCTACCCCACTTTTCTGGGTAATAAGACGGAATATATGATCTCCAAATCAAAGGTGTTATCATATATGATCTCCAAAATTCTAATAGTCTTCTTCTCTTTGTGAGACATGTGCAATTAGAGATGATGAAGATTAATAAAAAATGTATGTGTTTTCGAGCAAGGCTTGACACAGCGTGTTTTTGAGCACCTTTTTTACAAGAATTGAACAACTTAGATTTTTTTTGTAACTTTCAGTTTGTGATATGTTATTCAATTTGGCATAAGGAGATTTAATTTTGTTCATTAGGAGCAAATTAAACATGCTAACAAAGAGCTCAAGTGCCAGTTCTGCTTCTCTTTTCCTGAGGTAGGTGTTTTATTTTGATCATTTTAATGAAAAGAATGTCTGCAGTTTTATAAATTTGTTTTCAGATTTTAGGGGAATCTAAGGTTGACGGATGGACACTGAAGAATCGGATTGTCAAGGACGAGCCAGAGACAAATCAAGGCTGGTGGGGGCTCGGACTAGGGGTGTATGGCCATGGTCTAGGTGAGTTATGATTGGGTGGCTAGGTTTGGACTAGGTGAGACATTGCAGGAGCCTTGGGTTCAGCTGGACACGAGACAGTTTATTTGACTAGGGCAAAGACTGGCTTGCTAGGGTCTTTGCTAAGGGTTGTGGAATTTTATGAGGCAAATAATGTGCAAATAACAATTCAGGTACCCTCTTATTCTTACAATTCTCATATTGACCGATATTTACAATTTCAATACAAGTGTACTTAGTTGATGTAAAATATGATTAGAGCGTTGTTTACAATTATGGAATGATAACTCAAAGCTAAGTCATTGCATATAATGAAATATTATTATCTAGATTTTTGTTTGCATTTGGTTCAGCATGCAATAAGTCTTATATTTGATTTTATCACTTTTAGGAATAAAAACTCTAAAGATCTGAGGGAGACTTCTCATTTTCTATCTACTGGTTTATATCATTTTGAGGTGCAGAGGCTTGAGCAGATTAGATATCCTTTGGAACCTATCTTTGGATATGTTTGAGATTGGTCACGAGTAAAAGTATACTGAGTGCACACTACTCATTTATGGTTGAGAATCAATAGCTAAACAGTTTTTTTATCAATGCAATATGTTGTTAGATCAACACAATTGGTTTCTTCAGGCCTTGGCCCTTACTTTGGTTACTGGTTTTGCTTGTGCTTTTACATTGTATGGCTTCAATAGGTTTAAAGAATAGGACGATGGTTTTGGTATTTACCTTGGACTTCTGCTATATCACTTGGTCATTAGAACAACATGGTTGTGTTTTGGATGGAGGTAATACCATTTATTCATATGCCATTCTAATATATTATATTTTTGTTTCTTTTGCACGTAATGCCTTGCACACATGGCTTCAAATGGCTTATAACGATTCCTTCATTGCGTGAAGGACTCAACTTTTTATGATGGAGAGGGTAACATGCAACGCCATGGATAGCTATGATTTTGCATTTTGGCTAAAGGCGTATATATTCAGAATCAGAACAATAAAACATCTCAAAGTCACCATCTACCAGAGTTCTGTAAATGAGCACTTCCTTCTTGGTTCTTAGAAAATGACTTTGAGATTTGCTATGGTTTGACTTGTGGTTCTTCTAGTAGTTCCTAATTAAAACAACAGCAAGTGTTGGAGTTAAGATGCAGACCTCATCTACAATTGACTGATGTTTCGTTTGTAATGTATTACTTTCATTTAGTTTTGAACCAGAATATGGTTATGCAATTTGGAACACAACACATGATCTGTCAAACTCGCTATTGGGGTTTTGGATGTTTACAATTTGTTGATCATTGTAATTTTTTGTTCAGTAACATTTAGCTAGGACTGCTTGGTCACTTTGGGATGTCTGGTCATATCACTCTCTTTCTAATAAATTTTTCTTTTCTTTAGAGTGTCGTGTGCATTTGATATGAAATTAGTTGTAATTGATATAAAAGTTAGTTACTTGGTCGATCATTTCCACACTTATTTGTGTGCATATAGTTTTTTTTAATTTTTTAAAATTGATATTTGCGACACTTATATGTGTGGTGCCTTCCCAACACATGTAAGTGTTGGGAAAAAAATTATTACTCGCACATATTAAGTGTTGGTAAAATATTAATTAGCCACACTTATCTAAAAGTGCGGCTAAAAATTGCCCACAGTTAGGTAGCCGCACTTAGGTCATGTGTGGCAAAGTATTTTTTCCACATTTATAAGTGTGGCGAACCACCATTTTAAGTGCGCCAAAATACCAAATTTCTTGTAGTGTCAGGCTCTTCGTCTGAAGATTCAAGAAGATGATGATGAAGAAGGGAGCCAAGAAGAACACTCCACCCAAATGCTATGGGTGTGGTGAAATAGGACACATTCAACGAATGTGTCCTAAGCTCAAGAACGAGAAGGACAAGATATAACACCCTAATCCGTCCAAGTCTGCAGCCCCTTTTGGGCTAAAGTATTAACTTGGTAATCATAAAAATTTAAAACATTTCAAACACTTTTATACATCCTAAGAAAAATATTCATAATAGTAAGAGTACGAAGTTTTCCACATTGCGGAAGCTTAACAAATCATAATCATAAACATAATTTATTTATGTTATTCAATTCAAAACCATCACATCCATTCCAACAATCTCGCCTCTATCTGCCTCCAGGATTACGTCACATCATTCTTTCTATTAACCTGCATGTAGCAAATAAAGCATGCTACACGCTCATCGTTGAAGCTGAGTAAGAATGTCTAATGCGTTGAACATCCATGTAAATTGAGTCTCAATTCATAATCAAATCATTTGATATCATGCACAAATGTTCTGTTCAGATACTCAATAATCAATAATCAATATTCATCAATCCTAATTCAACATTCGACATTCATATTCATCATTCATATTCAACATTCATAATGTCAACAATGCTCATAAAAAATATTCTTAGTCTAAGGCCAATTTATTTATTAAACTAATTTTAGTTTAAGATATTCCTAACAAAACCTTAAGCTAGGTATAGTTTAAGATACAGATTTTCAAAAAGGTTTTCAAAATCTTAAACTTACCTTCGCTTAAGGTCAACCAGAAACCAAACAACGGAATGTTCACTATCGGGTTGGGTGGTACCCCCAAACGAGTAGGTACTCAAGTTTGGTTTGTGGATCCCGTACGTACATTTTAACCCTGGCCACCGAACATCATACCCACAAGGCATAACTAAATGAGTATATCTTTGAGTTCTTCTGGATACCCTTCAAAATCAACATCACTATGGGTATATCTTAGAGTTCTTCTAGATACCCTAAAGTTCAATATATATTATAATCATCAACATATTCGTTTTAAGTTATTGTTCAATCATTCACAATAATCATTTTAATCAGTAGGTTCATTAGTATTTAATCATCAATTCATCTTAATCATTAAATAATAATCATCATAATATTCAATAACAATTAGCAGCTTAGCATCAAGTGTTAACACTCTAGCTTACCGTCATGCATCATATAAGGTTTTTGGGTATGTCAAAACATCATATTTATTTCCAGAAATCATTTCCATATTGATCATAATTGTTTGATATCAAGAATATGATTTAATATTTCAAATACAAATTTTCTGAAAAGTTTCTCTAGTTCCAGCACATAATAATCAATTAATATAGAGTTGGAAAATCGATTAATCGTTACTGACTTCATATCTTTCAGCGGTACAGAATGTTAATCGATTAATAGAAGATGGAAAATATATTAATTGCTACATATTTCAAATGCTTCAGCGGAACAATCAATTAATAGATTAATCAACATGAATTAATCTATCAATCAATGTGAATTAATCTATTAATCAACATGAATTAATATATTAATCAACATGAAATTAATATATTAATCAACATTAATTAATCTATTAATCAACATGTATTAATCTATTAATCAATTAATAAGCATGAGTTAATCGATTAATGTCTACTGTTCATCGTCTTCTTCCTCGGGTCCATTTTTGAAAATATCATTTTTAGTCACAAAACTTCAATTAAACTATATAGAGATGTTCTATAATTTTCAAAGATCATTTTGGTATCATTAAATCGTAGTTTTAACAACAAATTCAAGGTTTATGATTCTTGGTCCTTCAAACATGTCAAACACAAAACTCAACCAAATGACCGTTGATGAACGTAAAAACGATTTATACGAACATTCTAGTCACTAGATATATCTACGGGCTTACCTCGAACTTAAACGGAGGTTTTGGAAATTTTTTGGGGAAACTTCCGGTGGCGACTTCACACCAAATTGAGAGCACCACTGCGTTCTCCACACTCAAGGCTAACTCTCATAATAAATTTGAAGGGAAATGGTGAAGAATTGAGGTAGGAGAGGTTGGTATATATAGGAAGAAGATTGAGGAAGAAGACATGACTTCTCCTGTTTTGGCGTCTAAGTGAAGGGGGCTGCGATTTTTACGATTCCAAACGCAAGTCCCTGATTGGGACTAATTTCAGTCCCAATCGGGGTATACGTTTTGGTGCAACTTTCTCCGAATTGAAATTCGTTTGCACCGTTGCGATCATACAATTAAACTCTATTCGATGATATAATTTTTATATTTATTTGTAATACTTTTTCTGGCATCATATTTTTAGGAGTTTGACTTTGATAGAGTCAAAATTGATTTACTTGACCTTTATTCAAAAAGGTTCTCTCATCGTATTCATATTATTTAGTTTATTCTCATGATTTATTTCAATAAATTATTTCAAATTTCACATCATAAAAAATCTTTATTTATTTCTTAATTTGGGTATGTACTCTATTTCACAATCAAGATTACACACATAGTCAACATATTGGATTTATCTCCATGAGATTTATCCAGCTTGTGATATTATTTATCAAAACATATTTAATTTTGGCCGAAATCCCAACAATAATTTGTTTTAATCAAAAAAAATTTGTTTAATTGAATAACAATTCAATAATACTTTTAGGGTATGTTTTTGGGCGATACATTTCTTCCACCCTTAAAGGAATTTCGTCCTCGAAATTCTTTTAAAGTCCACAATCAACATCTTGTTGTATTCACGTTCATCATGACCGCATCATGTTCATTCACTTAAATCATGATAACGTCGTTATCATCCAACTCATTCTTTTTTCAAGAGATTAACAATCTTAGATTAAGCATGTTTTCCAATGATCCTTTTTGCAGGTTCCTGTTCAAAGTCAACATTCATAACTAAGGTTCCTTTTCAGAGTATAACATCGTATTTTGGAGCATACTTGACATATTTGCACATAATTTCATTCATTCACAAATCTCGGTTGTATGTCATTGATCAGCAATATTTTTTCTTCGATTGAAAGTTCTTCAATAGCCTTTGCAGTTTTGGATCATCACGTTCATGGTAGGTATAGTTAGGGATTTAGAGTTGGTTTCAATTCACCATGCCTTTTTGCATGGTGATCTTCAAGAGGAAGTATATATGAAGTTGCCTCCCGGATACCCCGGAGCGTATCCTGGGAAAGTTTTTCTTCTTCGTAAGTCTTTGTATGGCTTACGTCAGTCCCCGCGTAATTGGTTTGCTAAGTTATGCAGTGCTCTGGAGAGATGGTTTTCGCTCATGCTGACCAAACCTAATTTGTTTTTGTATCATGGTCCGGATATTTTGGTTGTGTTGATTTATGTGGATGATATTCTTGTAGCAGGAAATATTTCGTCTCTTTGTTCTTCCTTCAAGAAATATCTTAATGACTGTTTTTGTTTGAAGGATTTCGGTCCAGTTTCTTTTCTTTTTTTTTGAGATTGAGTGTGCTCAGTCTTTTGATGGCATGTTCTTAAGTCAGCGGAAGTATGCACTAGATATTATACAAGATACTAGCCTCTCTGGGTGTAAGCCCGCCGCCCCTCCTATCTCCACTGCTCATTCTCTTGCTACTTCATCTAGTCCTGAGATTCGTGATCCTTCAAAATACAGAAGACTGGTTGGCCGTTTGTTATATTTAACCATTACACGTCATGATATTTGTTTTTCTGTGCATGTGTTGTCCCAGTTCATGCATGCTCCGCAGCTTGATCACCTTCATGCGGCTATGCGTGTAGTTCGTTATCTGAAAGGTCCTCCCGGTCGGGGAATTTTCTTACGCAGTGACAATGACTTATATCTTACAACATACTCAAATTCAGATTGGGCTAGTTGTCCCCTCACTCGCCGGTCTGTCATGGATATTTTATACAGCTGGGAGGGTCGCCAATTTCTTGGAGGTCTAAAAAGCAAGATACGGTTTCACTTTTGTTTGTTCAAGCGGAATATCGTGCTATGGCAAGTGCTTATACGAAAGTTCGTTGGATTAGAGCGCTTCTTGCGGCATCACAAGTTCCATGTGTTGCTGCTCCGAGCTTATATTATGATAATAAGTCTGCGTTGTTTATTGCTACCAATCCTATGTTTCATGAACGTTCTAAGCACATCGATATTGATTGTCATATTGTTCGTGAGTGTATCCTACGAAGACATGTGGCTACGGCATACGTCCCGACCAAGTTACAAATTGTTGATATTTTTACTAAGGATCATCTCTTTTGTTTCTTACTTTCCAAGTTGGACATTCTTGGTATTCATGCGCCAACTTGAGTGAGAGTATTGCGTATACTTGAATTATTTTTATTTATTGTATTATTTAGCCCATATTGTCTATTGGGTCCATGGCCTATGTAACTTATATTTATACTCTTGAGATGTGAATAATCAAGGCAACAAAAGTTATTTCCAAAAAATGTACTTCCTCCGTCCCAAATTATAATGCATGTTCATTATTCACATGGTCAAACTTCATTCACTTTCTTTCTCAATTTTCGTTAGCAAATTGATAAAATAAAATACTAGTGTCACTACTAGTTTTGTATATCTTTTGATGTAGTATTTTATTATGTAATTTTTATTTTTTAACTATATACCATTTGTCATATAAAATGATTTGAAAATAATTTCAGTCAAACATCATAAACCGAAACAGGCGTTATAAAATGGGACGGAGGGAGTACATTTGTTGACTTCATATTGTGTAAATTTTATGGTGAGGTGAAATAAAGATAATATGTTTAAAAAAAACGGTGACAAAAGTATATTACTTTATTAAATGAGTAGACAAAACTAAATAGTTATGTTTGACCTTGCGAATAATGTTTGCAAAGAGGGAATGGAGTAAATTTCTTGCACGAATTTTTACTTTCACGGACAATATCAAGAATAACACAATGCATCTCCAAACTTTAAAGAAAGAGATGATACGGAGACATATTCCTGGTTTAGAAGCCCGATTAGATGGCCTCTTCAACGATGCGTCGCACCTCATCTGCCATGTCAGTAACATGTTTGTCTTCGCATCCTATTTCAATGAAGACCAGAAACATAATATCAGCCAAACGAGGACAATTCGGGAAAGAGAAACGACACTTATTCGAAGAATCTGTTCAAAATTGGACCGGATTGTCGATTGGCATCATTTAATTTTTCTGCTAATCAAAGATGCAAGGGGGATTCGGGTAGAAACCATCAATTTTACGAACGGAACACAGTAGGAGCCAGATGCCATTTTATGACACTAGAGCCCAGATTCATTTTAACCGGACTCTATTGTGAATTATCAAAAGTAGCACCTATGTGGCAAATATGTGTCAGTGTTTAGGACTTCCTAATGATCATTTTAATATTTTAAAAAAAATAAACAGTCATATTTCATGATTTTTATTGAATTTAAAAAAGAAAAACCAATTTCGAAATGGGACGTGAATAACAATCATCTCATGTTCTCATGATATTATGTCATGCAAGCAGAAATAAAATTTGATGATATTCCTTCACAACTAGGTTACTCTCATACTGAACATTTACATTATAGCCCGAGATTATTTGCTTTCCTGTTAACACTCATTTATTCTATTACCTAAATCTCCGTGGATATTTATAGTGTAAATTGTATAATTGGTCCTTTAAAACTGTGAGTTTTCCATATTAAGTCCCTAATTACCAAATATTACATTCGTTGTCCTTCATTTATGGGTATCTTTCCAAATATATTCTTTTGTTTGACGGCCGAATAGCACCAGCACCCCCGTAGTTTTAAAAATAGACACCAAATATTGCATGTTTCAATTTTTTCAGACTTAGATTCTGACCAAGAAAGACATGACAAACAGCACACCAGCACCCCCGTAGTTTTAAAAATAGACACCAAATTTTGCAGACTTAGATTCTGACCAAGAAAGACATGACTATGGCTGTTGTGCGCGGTGACTTCAGTAGACAAACAGCACATCAGCAACGACCTATGCCATTGGATATGGCAAGAAGGATGTAGGGCTCATGTAAAATTATACTTTTAGCCATCGATTTAATACCAACATGACACAAGGTAGAGAGGAAGACTATACGAGGAAGGGTACCCATAAACAAAGGACCACAAACGTAATATTTGGCAATTAAGGACTAAATATAAAAACCATCAATTGTAAAGGACCAATTATAGTATTTACTATAACCGACAAACACTTGTTTTTGTTCCGCAATCAGGGTCGTGGGGTGCCAATGTCTCGCCGAGAAATTCGACTTGCAGATTGTTGAAAATGACGGTTCTGTACTCAAAGCTCTCTTACACTTATGTATCAATGTGAACTTTAAAAGCCATAGATGGTTCTGCTTCCGTGCCTGTTTTATTATCCCTTTTCTTCCTAACATGGAGTTAAAGATGTGTGACATTGTATGGTTGAAATTTATGACGAGGAGAAAAAATAAAGTGAATCACACATTTCATTACTTGAAAGGAAATGAGATGATTAGCTAGGAAACTCCATATACATGGAAGTTTCAAACTTCATTCATTGACAACTGTATATTTTCTTCATAATTCATCTTAATCTTACTCCAACTTTCCGTGGATGAACAAAAATCATTTTCACTCACAAATGACCTAAATTTGAAACTTCTAGAATGAATTAACCCAAACCTTGGATTTATAATGAAACACTTCACTCTAGTACACTTGGCCATTGAGAGGTTCAGAATATGATGTTCCATAACTGTAAGATAAAGTTGCAATGAAAACGGCAACTTCGCTTATTACTGAGGTCCTAAATCTACATATTAAATTAGTCAGGGACTGCATCTACTAATAATGGGGGACCAGAAGTATAAATTTCTCAAACTAAAACAAAACAATAGAAGAATCAATGCTTATCAAATAGCATACCTAACAGACCAAGTGCTTTCTCAAGCTGAAAAAGGTAATCTCTATTTGGTCCAGAAGGCCCGTCAGCCCGAACAATTTGTCTGCACAATAGAAAACAATTCACAAAAGCAATTGATTTGCTACTCCGTTGTATGTTTCGACATATATTCCCACCATTTCCCAGAATAAGACATTTTCCCGTCAAGAGAAAATGTCATTCACTGTGACACCTGGTAATATCTACTTCTATATTCCAAGGACTAGTTATCTCTTTTCCACAATAGCAAACAGTTGTACATGCAAATCGGTTTGAACTTCAACCACCAAACACTTCGTTCAATCGCTAAGAGCTCCTCATAATGGAACTTTGAATTTCCAAAATCTTTTGCCTTGTTCAACTTTTAGTGAAGCCCCAAGCCATTAAATCACACACAACTTTTCAATTTCCAGTTGATAATGGTACTCACAAGAACATCGTGGTAAAATACACCTTCCGGTCTTTTCTAGGATTATAAGTTAGTGTACACAAAAGATCGGCAAAGAGACATTAAGTTTAAGTTAAATGAGACTAAGGTGCTACTCTATTCACCATTTTTTTATACTCTCTCTGTCCAAGTTGAATCTTCTCGTTTTGACTTGGCACGAGTTTCAATGTAGAGTGAAAAAGATTATGAGTTTCCACTTTTGCCCTTTACCTAACACCTCACATCTCCTTCGTCCAACACTCTTACTTGTGCAGCTTTATCACGTCAATCAATTCATCTTCTCTTCAAAATCAAAATCAAAACCAAGAATCGATCAAAAAAATTAAATTCAAAGAGATCTGACTAAAGAAAAACAAATTAGAACTCCTAATTTTATTCTGATAGATATGAACAGCCTCACCCCAAGCTTAGATCCACGTATAAAAAACCTAAATTGGTCCCGCCATTGAAGAAGGAGAGGAAAAAAGTCAAGAAACAGGGGAGAAACGTTTTCCGTTGCCGTCTTGTAGCTGGCTCTCTTTTGCCTTTGTTCCTTCGCCGCTGATCGGTATGAGAGATCTGAAACCACGGGTCTGACAAAGACAAAGATTAGAGGGTGGGGGGCCTTTAAAAAGAGGATGAAAATAAAAAGAAAGAAGAAGAAGAAAAGGGTGGAGGGTCACTACGAAGAAGAAGAAAAAGAAATAGATTGGCAGAGAAAGAAAAGCTGTTGCAAAGAAGAGATGAGAGGGGATGAAGAAAGGGGTGAGGAAGGGGTCCGGGGTGAGGTGGAGGACTGGCTTCAAACAATAAGAAAAAAATTAAGTAAGGGTAAATTAGTCTTTTGGTGAAAGATTATTTGCCAAATAAGGAAAAGAGAAGAATCAAATGGGGCAGTCCAAAAAGGAAAGTGAGAAGAAAGATATGGGACGAAAGGAGTATTAATCAAATCAAACCAGAACAGAAATATTCAGATCAAATCTTAAAAATACAGAACAGATTTACTTAATTCAAAAGGTGATCTACATGTAAATGATCTCGCTGAGATATGATACATGATAGGGCGTAATGACATTGTTTGATCCATGTAGCTGACCCCACCTACTGCGATTAGGCTTGGTTGTTGTTGTTTTATTACACTATTCAAAAGAAAACAGGTACTAACTATCACAAGTCTGAATTGTAAGCTAAGGAGTTCCCAAACAAGCATTTGGAGTTAGAATTTGGAATAAGAATTCAATTTTTGTATTTCAATTTCTAGAATTGAATTTCGGAATTTCAATTCCATGTTCTGTGGAAGTAGGCATGGAGGTTGGCCGAACCAATATACACCGTGTCTTCTTCTGTTCAAAACTAGGTAATCGAGAGAAAATCATGAATTGCAGGTTACACTGTAATTAAACTAGTGCCTAGTTGGTTAAATAACCCACTTAACAAATCGGGCAGGAGCCAACTGAATATTTGCTCGTACATAGGTTTAACTGTTTAACAATTGTATTCAAAATAATTTGTTCAATCAAACTGGATTTAGAGGAAAAATAAAACTCTCCGGTTGAGCTCTGAGGGAAAGTTGAGATAAAAAGGAGTTTCAATGAACTCGAAAAGCATTTTTGGTATTTGAAAAACTTATGTTGGATAAAAAAGTTGAGGTTGACACGGGGATCTTAATATCTAAACTTTAAGAAAGAAAATCTATGTTTTCAGTTAACCTATCTATGTATTACATTGTCATTAAAATAATGGAAAATTTCTTGCCAATACTCCCAAAAATCTGCAATTTTATAAGAATACTCTAAGATTGCATAATTATCACCATCATACCTATAAATTCAATATGTTCACAATAATACTCCAAGTCTACATACTGATCACAAATACTCTTCAAAAATTAGAGGATCCGTGTAAAATAAAATTCTCTTGGATTATTATAGTAAAAATATTGAATTTCTGAGGCGGTGTTGATAATTATATAATCTTGGAGTATTTGCGTAATAATGAGATTTCCAGGGGTATTGACATGGATTTTTCCTTAAAATGATCTACTTAAAGCCTGAAAGTTTCTAAGTGGTGTGGATAACCTATCACGGCATCACCAATCTTTGGTTACGTTATTTTGTTAAGATGGAAATTAATATAATTAGGCAGTCAATGGATGAGAAAGATAGTGCACGTGCTTTTGCTTCTATGTTCGATCACACTTAAGCTAGCACAAGGAGAAAAAAAGGATATCAGAATTCCAATGTAGTTTAGGAAAAAAGAGAGATAACCAAAGCAGAAAAGCATGTGAAATAACATATTCAAAGCAGAAAAATTACAGAGGATACCTGGCCATTTCATAAAGCGATGCAGGTCCCAAATAGTTCTTGTTGATTTTAGGGTCTTGAGATGCTATATATCTAAAGAAAATAAAGTATGAGTTGATCGTCAAAAATAAAAAAAAGTATGAGTTGTAAAAAATAAACAATAAACTATGTAAATCACAAAATTAATAGCAAGTTTTTATAGCTTACACCAGTGCATTTGAAATGGCCGGAGCTGAAGATGTTAGTTCCTGAGATGTTAAGAATCATTTCCAGAAAGCATGCAAAGAGGAATAAAAGTGAAGCAAATTCAATCTTCTCTAGTCTTACAGTGAAAATATCCAGATAGGCCTTCTTGTCATACTGCTTTTCCCTCACTTCAAGATGCTAAATGCATCCTCCAAACAAAAAGGAAAAAACAGGGGAAGAAAAGAGGGATGTTGTTACACACAGTGAGGGAAAAAGTGCATGAGCTCTGAATATGAACAAAAAAGTGGCATCTCAAAGGATAAGTTCTGATACATAGGCAATTCCTAGAACATGGTTAAACAGAGTTTACTTTTAATAGCTGCAGAAATAGATACTTCTTGTAAGTGAAAATTCTGCTGACTGAAAATATAGCATGCATGACTATGTGAAGAGACAAAGGAGACTTCAACTGAGAAGATATGAAGCATGACCTATCATCATTTTGATTTTAATATATTTTCTTCATCAAATCTTGATTAGCTCGGGGTTGTGAGCTCCAACTTTTGTAAATAGATGCAATAACAATAAACCGTGTTTCTTGCAGCATTTCAAATGACAAATTTGATCGGTCTTTCGTCACTATTTCTCATCAATAAGTTCATATGCTTTTCATGAATAGTACTTCTAGTACAGTATAGCGGCTATTTACTACCATTACATCAATGAAGCCCGTTAACAGCCCTAAATGTGTAGGTCACAAGATTGCCATAGAACATAACAATTACTAGAATAACTAAAAAATAAATACAAGACCATCAACTATTAACATCTAATTTAGGGTTGCCAACTCATTATTTCGGATGTCATGTCAGCAAAAATAATTCCACGTAATTAAGCCCGAGTGGAGTAGCTCAGCCAAGCTGGAAGTTAAAGTAGCGAGTACAATCCGGTGATTTCTCGGAGTATTGGCATGCAAAAGGGAATCATGTATTATTATATAATCGGCCAAATCTAGGAGTGTTTGTGTGAATTTTATCAATTTTTACGTGTCCAGGGGCACTCTAAATACAACACGATTGCATTCACTGTCAGGCGCCGACTTAGAGTTGCAGTTGAAATTCCCTTGTCATCATGTAGGAAATTACTTGTTGGATGGGGGGAATTGAAGCGGTTGGCTAGAATGGTAGGGTGTTTGGGCTTATAAACGAATGTAACCCTACCCTTCTGTTTTTGAATTTCCTTTCCTTTCTCCTCTAGATGGAAGTTACTAGAAGCGATTCTTTTGTAGGGTGTCACACACTAGTACCTGTCATACCATGAATTGATGTTGCCTGTTTGGAGTTAATGACATCAAGGCGAGCTATAATGCTATGTAATTGATGTACTTCACAAGGAGAATAGCTGTTGGATGAGAAATAATTGTGTGGAGAAACTGAATTTTTGCAGAAGGAACCCATTAAGATCTTATGGCTCTGATACCAAATGATAGAACCCAAGAGTGACAGAGAAAACAATTGAAGGGTAATCTTTATGAAATGTTTATAGAAAGATCAAATTGATCAATGCAGCCCTTGGATGGAATAAATCCTAATTGTCCTCTTTGTAAGCAAACCAATAAAACTAGCTCGTTTGTAATTATAAAAACATTGAAAATATCTTCTTATATCCAAGGTTTTGAAAGGCGAAAACTTGCCTCGAGCATTGGCAATTTGGCATTGCCAAAAAAGAAAGATAAGAAAAGCAGGTGTAGAGCTCATTACTCTTGATAAATAACATACTGCCTTTCTCTCCTATATCAAATTAGTAGATTTAAGGCACAATTGGTGTTTCCCCAATCCCGATGTCCCAACATGTCCTTTGCGTGCACGTGATGCTAGCTCATATTTGTCTAGTTAATAATAATAGAATGTTCATGGCATAATAAGCCTAGCTAAATACTCCCTCCATCCCATATCTTTCTTCTCACTTTTTTTTGAGTCCTCTCAATGGTTTCTTCCTGTTTCCTAAAATAGAAATAAAATACTCTTAAAAAGACTCTTTTTCCCTCCTTTTTCAATTCCAATATTCTCTCACCTCTGCCTCTCCACCTTGTCTCTCTCTTCTTCTCCACCATCATTCATCTCCAATCCATCTTTCACACCAAATTGCATCTACTCATCTCCACCACCATCACTCATCTACACCACCATCTCTCCAAATTGAAACCCTTTGTCCTTCAATTTTCATCCGGCGCCGGCAAAGGGGCGGCGACAAAGTGGCACCACGAACATAAATTATTTCTTTCTTCGGAGAGGGTGACGGAGGCGGCGGGCGAGGGGAAGCGGCAGGTAAAAGTCTTAGATTTTATTTTTGATTTCTTCGTCATCTTCTTCTCTTCATCTCAACCCTAGATTTGATTTTCTTGAGGGATTCACTTTTGATTTCATTTTGTTTTTTTTATTTTGATTTTGTTGAATGAGAAGAGGAAGAGATTTCATTTTGTTAAAAAAAGATGATGAGATTTGATTTTGGTGATGAAGATGATAAAGAGATTCAATTTTTCTAAAGATGAAGATGAAAAGATTTGATTTTGTTGAAGATGAATGACATTTTTTATTTTGAGGTTGAGGGGCACGGCATGCGAGACGAGAAGAAGAAGAAGCATGGCAACTGAAAACAGTGGAAAGAGAATAAGGAGGGCAGTAGGTGGAAGGCCAAAATTGGAAAGTCAATGTATTTTTCACTTTACATTAAAACCCGTGTCAAGTCAAAACAAGATTTTTTAACTTGGATGAAAAGAGAATTATATAAGAGTAACCCTGGTATAAAATTAACTTGAAAAGATGTGATTTTGACTGCAAGTGCAAGAGAATTCAAAATGATAAATGTTTTGTCTTAATCAAGTGCACCCGGTGAGTCATGTCAAAAGTTGAAATAATGATTACACAAATAACAACCTCTAACCCTAGAGTGATAATAGCGTTCTAGAATGTCAACACATACCGTTATGGCTACTTCTTGATCTTCCTTTTTAGTTATCTTGTAAGCAATGCCCCACTACAAAAAAAAGTAATAGGGAGTGCAGTGTCATATAGTAAACATTAAAAACAATGGTTGACTCTTCTTACTTTCTATGACGTTTTGGGCAGCCAATGCAGCAATGCATCTAGGGTTGAACAAAAACAACCTCTTTGTTTTCTTGCAAGGGTAAGACTTGATCCCCTAATCAAAACCGTGTTGGAATAATACTGGGTTGTTCTCAGTTGACTTTACTTACTGGAATTATTAATACAGATATATGGAGTGCTAGATTTTTTCCCCTAACGAACACTCTGGCACAGTTGGCATTTTTCATTTTGGAGCATTTGGCCTTTGGGTAGCATTAGCAGTGTTCGTGTTTCATTTTTCAGCTGTTGATCCTTTCGTGATTCTGCATATTCTTTATTTCCTGCAATTTTTCTTTGCTATGTTTAAGACTTAGACATTTTGCTTATCACTTTATTCTAGCACTTGTTTCTTTTTTCTTCCCTAAGGTATTTCTTTATTACATAATAATTGCATTTATCTTGTTAAAAATAACTCTGCCTATGTAACTACGTTACATAGCCAGTCCCAAGCCCGGATAAAAGAGGAAAGTTGTGTTAGGTCTCGGCAACCAACATAAAACTTTGTCGAATCTTCATGACATGGATCAAACACGACATTGCACTAAAGCTAGGCCGTTGCCCAGAAGCAATGTGTTTTATGGCTCAAGTACAGTGTCAAATGAGCTAGGGCCGCTGCATCGGTGCCCGGGTGTAGTGAAAGATAAGCAAGGGTTCCCACGTTTAGGTGAACGGGCGTGGGTAAATAAGCTAGTTCGCAAAGGTCAAGATAAGTAGCGGTTTGGGACATGGAACATAGGCACATTGACAGGTAAGTCTATGGAGTTGGTGGATACTATGATATGGAGAAGGATTAATATTATGTGCTTGCAGGAAACAAAGTGGGTGGGAGCAAAGGCTAAGGAGTTGGACACTTCAGGCTTCAAGCTCTGGTATACAGGAAAGGTGAAGAATAGAAATGGAGTTGGTATCATTGTAAATAAACAATGGAAAAAGGGTGTGGTCGATGTTCAGAGGGTGGGAGATCGAGTCATTGTATTAAAGCTGGTAGTAGAAGGACATGCTCTACATGTGGTTAGTGCCTACGCACCACAAGTCGGTTCAAAGGAACACGTGGGAAAGGATGGAAGTGGGTATGAACAAATCCATGGAGGGCATGGCTTTGGGGTAACGAACGCAGAAGGTAAAACCATCTTAGATTTCTCTTCAACCTTCCAGCTTCTTATTGCAAACACTTGTTTTCAGAAGCCACACGAGCATCTTATATCTTATAAGAGTGGGAGGACATGCTCTCAAATTGATTTCTTTCTGATAAGGAAATCGGATCGAAAATTTTGTACTAATTGCAAAATTATTCCTGGAGAGAATTTGACCACCCAACATAGAGTGCTAGTTATGGATTTTCATATCCAACTGTTAGAGTGCATCCCACATCGGAAATCCAAGAGTAAAATAATCCGGTATATAAGCTCTTGAGTTAAACTAACTAATCGATTGAATTCAATCTTTTAATGTGGTTCAACCCAAGTGTCTTATTAACCAATCCAGTTATCACTACCCCATCCTAAATTCTATCATGGTATCGGAGCAGGTTTTGGCCCACCTCGTTTGTCAAGGTGTCCGTCTAGACGTTCATTCCTAGCGGCCCGTTAGTCTTTAGCCCAGTTGTCCGTATGGAGTATGTACCCAACGGCCTGTGGCCCGTTTAACCCGATTGCACGTCTGGAAGTCCATACCCAGGGACTCGTGGTCCTTTAGGTGTTGGCGCTCAAAAAAAATCAAGGGGATGGGAGTCCATTTGCAAGTGGTCAACCGGTTAGATTCAAAATGGCCCGGTTATCCACTTGAGGGGGAGTGTTAGAGTGCATCCCACATCGGAAATCCAAGAGTAAAATAATCCGGTATATAAGCTCTTGAGTTAAACTAACTAATCGATTGGATTCAATCTTTTAATGTGGTTCGACCCAAGTGTCTTATTACCCAATCAAGTTGTCCATACCCATCCCAAGGTAAGAAGTAGCCAAGAGGGGAACCTAAGGACTAAATGGTGGCAGTTGAAGAGTAATAGGCAAATGGAATTCCAAAGCCGTTTAGTAGAAGAAGCAAAACGGGATAGACATGGAACTGCGGATGAGTTATGGTGTGATATGGCACTAATGGCAGATATCATTAGAAAGGTGGCAAAAGAAACCCTTGGAGAAACTAAAGGTACTAATGCAAGAGACAAAGAATCATGGTGGTGGAACAGTAGTGTGCAAGAAAAGGTAAAGGTAAAGCGGGAACGTTTCAAGGAGTGGTCTTTATATCGTAATGTGGAAAGTTGGGAAAGGTATAAGACAGCTAAGATGGAGACAAAAGTGGCTGTAAGTGAAGCAAAAATGAGAGCTTATGAAGGGTTTAACCAATCCTTGGGTACGAAAGAAGGAAAAAGATGTATTTACAAGATTGCACAGGGTCGAGAAAGAAAGATGCAGGATTTGGACCAAGTTAAGTGCATTAAAGATAATAATGGTGAAGTTTTGGTCTCCGATGAAAGCATAAACGACCGGTGGAAGAGCTACTTCAATAATCTATTTAATGAGGAGCTTGTGAATCTCTCATGCTCCGATCGGCTACACACGAGGGAAGAGGACCAAAACTTCAATTACTATCGAAGAATTCCAGAAACTGGAGTTAAGGAAGCCCTAAAACAAATGAAGAATAGCCGAGCAGTGGGCCCAGACAATATTCTGATTGAAGTTTGGAAAGGTTTAAGAGAACAAGGCATTTGGTGGCTAACTAAGATTTTTAATGATATTTTAAGATCTAAGAAGATGCCTAACGAATGGAGGAAGAGCACTTTGGTTCCTATTTACAAGAATACGGGTCAGAGTTGTGGAAAGTGGAAACTACAGAGGGATCAAGCTTATGAGTCATACGATGAAGTTGTGGGAAAGAGTGGTTAAACGGAGGTTGAGACAAGAGACTTCGGTGTTAGAGAACCAATTTGGTTTTATGCCAGAAAGATCAACTACAGAGGTTATATACTTGGTGAGAAGAATGATGGAGAGGTACCGAAGTGAAAAGAAAGATCTACACATGGCTTTTATTGATTTAGAAAAGGCATATGAAAGGGTACCAAGAGAGGTATTGTGGAAGGTGCTAGAGAAAAAAGGAGTAAAGATTGCTTATATTCGTGTGATTAAGGACATGTACGATGGTGCCACAACGAGCGTGAGAAGTCAAACAGGGATAACAGGGGAATTCTCCATCGGTGTAGGATTACACCAAGGGTCATCGTGAAGCCCATATCTTTTTACACTAGTACTGGACGTTCTGAACGAGCATATCCAACAATCTGTACCATGGTGTTTGCCGACAACATAATCCTTGTGAGCGAATCACGAGAAGGTTTAAATGGGAAGTTGGATTTGTGGAGACAAGCTTTAGAGTTGCATGGCTTGCGTACAACTCACACTAAACCAGAGTATATGGAGTGCAAGTTTGGCATTGCGAAACCTCTCTCTTTACAAAATGTTTGGAAATAGACAACATATTCCCTCCGTCCATTTTCTTTCTTCTCAATTACTATTACGACCTCTCAATAACTTATATTTGTTTGCATGTTTTCATTAATCGTTTGATAAGTTAAAATATTCTTGTCATATCTTGTATTATCAAACTTTTGATGTAGTTCTAAATAATGTAATTTGTATTTTTTATTGGGATACCAATTTATAAATAAAGTAATTTCATAAAAGGTATAATTTTGCACATTGTATGAAATGGAAAGAAAAAAACTGATGGAGGGAGTATTTATTTTAAAAGTTCAAGGACTGGGGATTTCAATGTCATTTACGGGTCCTATCACTAAGACTAGTAACCCCAAGTGCATAAAATATCCAACACATTAAAGTACAATTTTATATCGAAATGATTCCTTAAAAAATGAGACATATGTCTAACTTCGACCACACCTTTCTAGATAAATTAATTTCTAAAGACGTCTCAAACTCATTTCTTTGAAAGACATTAATAATATATTTATGAACAAAATATTATTCACCAACTTGAATGTCACTTTAATTCCACATTCCATGGCAGACTTATAGAAGGCAATGGTGACAGTCGCCCCCAAAATTTTATTCCATGTAGGTATAGTTACTTCTAATATAATATTTCAATAAATATTTATTAGTAAATATTATTTATATATGTATGACTCCTCCAACTGTAAAGTAAAATACTGCATCTCCCACTATCAATATAAAAGCTGAAATAATCCACAAACAAACAGATACAAAAAAAGTATATTAAATATAATAAAATAGTTGAATGTGCCATTTGCTATATAGTGAAACTTCTACTGCCGAAATCAGCCCAGTTTTATGTAGTTCACAATGTTACACTCTCCTTCACTAATATCTCAAACACACTTTTCATGTTATTAAAAGTTGTGTCTAGTCAGGCAAGGCATGTCTTTTTGGAATGTCAAAAGAGATGTCATGCATTTAGCTTTTTGACATTAGCCTAGTACTTAACATTATTTTAAGTGAGCCCACAATAATTTGTGAGTCCAAGATGTTTGGGGATGCGAAAGAGTAGTACTTGAGAATTCGAACCTCCATTACTCCCCAATTCCTCTTCCATAACTTGTCCTCGAGAACGGCATCACACTCAACATCTTGAATCCATTATACATTCCTACCAAGCTCACAAGAACGGCATCTAGATGTCTCACGCTTCCTTCTTCATTCTTTCAAAACTCTATTGATTATGTTTCAAAATGGTGAAAATGAATCCCAAGTTCATGAGGGGCTAGCGGTTCCCCCGGAAGCACAATAATGACAAAAAGAATGAGGAAGAAGGCATTCTAATCCCTTGGTGGAGCAGTGACGGAGAAAACACATACTCCGTGTATTTTTTTCTTGAGCCTTGTAGGAATGTGTAATGGTGTTCTCAAAGGCAACTTAGGGGAGAAGAGCAGAAGAATGGGGGAATAATAATAATAATGGAATAGGAAAGAACTCAATTTCTATTCTTCTGCAGCCCCAAACATTTCAGGCTCAAAAAACGCAAAGAATGTAGTGAGTCAACTTGGCCACTAATGAGCAAGCTGCTGGAATAATGGAGAATAAGGATGGAGTCAATGCATGTGCTGGCTTCATGCTGATGCTCCATTGAGTCCATTCTAGCAACTTGCTCATTAGTGAAAAACTCAATTTTCTTCATATAATTCTCTACCCAATTCTCCCTCAGTTCCATACAACTTTGCACACTTTATCTTTTATTCTTCCATCGGTTCAATGCATTTCTCTCTCGGTCTCTCCTGAGTAAATAACTTCACACAAATCTACAATCTACCTTACTTTTAGCAGAGTAATTAGCAACAGAGAGAGCATCAAGAGGCCCAAATCACTCTCCCATGGATTGCATTTTCAATCACATTAATGTATCTTAAAGAGAGAAGAGCAAAATTAAAAGCAAAATAATAGCAAGTGCTGAGTAGAGGGCTGAACTCACGCATATCTCCCCATCTGCAGGTTCCAGAGTGACAGTCCGGCCCGGGAACTCCGGAGTCCCTCTGTGATCGGTACTGCCTTGGTAGAAGACGCGGCGATAGCCCTTTATGAAACCCACAAGGCAATCGTCGTAGTGGAAACCCGGTTTCCATACCAGTGACCCGTACCCGAATACCCACATCGCCATCTCTGCTTACTTTAAACTGCCGGGGTAAGATTAAATTCTGGTCTCTCTCTCTCTCTCTCTCTCTCTCTCTCTCTAACAGGGTTTGAGGAGTATTCCCTATTTTCCTGGGTTCGTTTTATGGGGTGCCGAAAAAGGTTTGAATTGAATTTTGAATTTTGGCTCCCTTTAGTTTGAAATGACCAAAAGCTCTTCCAAGTAACGAAACCAACTACTCCGGTATTAAATTTGACTATAGAAATAAGTTAAATAGAAAAGTGAGAAAGTAATCCTTAAATGACCAAAACTGATGGACAATATATCCACCAAATGATCCGATTCAGAAGAACGGATCGTAAGAAATGAAATGAGAACGAGAACTCGAGAATTATGTGTGTATTATTAGCTTGATTTAGCTTGAGTCTTTCCCATCTTGGGCCTCCTCTATTTATACATGGATTCTAGACAGTTAAGGTAATACATAATCAAAGGGAGTCCATCCCGTTAATGGCGCGATCCTCTTTTTCCGGCTTCATCTCCGTTCTTCAGCGAAATCTCCTCTCCTGGACTGGCTCTGCCAGCTGTCTTGGGCTGAGGTAGACCGAGCCTCACATTATGGGCCGGCCCATGTTCAAGTATTTTCTATGCGCCTGACCTGGAGTCTTCTAAATGATTCCTTTGGGCCGCCCGCTGGATATCGGCCCTTCAAAAGCCCCCCAACTCCTCATTCCTCAACTGGGCCACGTTGAGGGATGGGGAGTTTATGAGGTCCACGTGGGCGTTCCGGCATAGATTCGGGCCGTTCCTTGGGTTTCGCGTGAGGTTTGGCACGATCTCCACTAAAAGGTAATCATGGCATGCTGCTTCGCCTTACTACTGCCTGTTAAAACCGCCGCTGGACGTCAATCTTCCCCATTTGCCTTCTCAACTGCTTCTTCGTTTGCACTTCCGCCGTTACCCGACCCGTTTTCCTTCTGCTCTAGGTCAGTTCCCTTTTTCACCACCATGATTTTCTCTGATTCTGATTCGGCTTCCCCGTCGTCCAATTCTCGCCAAGCTGATCAATCGGCCTCTGGCCGTGACCCAGATCAGACCCAATCGTCTCAGCCCTCCCTCGACCCGAGCACGGGGGGCCCGAGGGTTAAGATGGATGAGAATATCATGGCGTTGTGCCATTGCCAAATCACTGACCGGGGGTTCGCCAACGCCACTGACATGGTCGGACCCTCTATCGAGGTCCTCAGGCCTACTAGCACCAGACCACCCTGGACACTCCCTCGGGGTTCTTCACCGTTCATCTAGCGTCTCTGAAGAAGGGGCTGCGGTTTCCTCTTCACTCGTTGTTGATTGAGTTCCTCAACGAAGTGGACCTCCTTCTTTGCCAGTTGGTCCCCAATTCTCACCGGTACATCGCCGGGTACCTGGTCAGATGCAAGGCAGTAGGGGTGAAGCCTACCCTTGACCATTTCCTGTTTACCTTTAAGCTGACCAAGGGTCATGGGGATTGGGCGTCCTATGCCAGTCTTTCCCAAAGGTCCAGCAAACTATTTACCAGCGACAAGAAGGGGTCGACCAAAGACTGGAAGCCCTTCTTTGTCTTTGTCCCGACGGGGCCCGAATCTCCTTTCATGGGTTCAGGGCTCCCATCCTTCCGTCGCGTCCCAAGTCCCCCCTTTGATGCCACCCTTCTGTCCATCACCCGGCAACTCTGCGGCCAAGGGGCCTTCGAGATTAAGAAGGTGGTGACCGAGGAATCTCTACCAGCGCTGGGGTTTGAGTTTGTCCAAGACGAGCTTCCCCACCAGCCCGACCTGCTAAGGGGTGTTCCCGGGGGACATCAGCCCAACCTGCTGGGGATGCCCTGGAGGCGTTGACTGTGGTCCTTTTGGTAATTTCCAACTCTTTTTGTCAGGTATTTCAAGTGTATTTCTTTTGGGGATTAATTGTTCCATTTGTTTCCAGCTAAGCCATCAGGACTAGAAGACGAGATGGACGATGAGCTTTTGCTCAGCCACTTCGTTGCGGGGAGGAAGAGGTAGAGGGGCGCGACCAAGCAAAGCAGAAGCAGGCACTCCTCCTCTCGTGGCGAAGGTAGTCCTCCTCGTGAGCAGGTCGTGATTAAGGTGGAGGACCAGGATGATGCGGCCTTGGAAACGGGGACGATGGCGATCAATCCCACACCGCGCTCTCTAATGCTGGGTGGCGACTTAGCTGGGTCGTCCCAGGGAGCCTTCTCGGAGCGACCTCACTCTCCACCACTAGTGACTTACGAGGTGGCGACCGAGGGTCGCTCGACGAGGTTCAGCATTCCTCCCCCGTCCCCGGGCTTAGGGGACGTGCAACTGGAGACCCTGGTCACCTTGCCCGCTCGGGATCAAGCTCGCATCTCGGCCGGTTCTTAGGATGATCTCAACAACATGGTTCTCCTGAAGCTTAGCCAGGTATCTGCTTTAACCCCCTTTTCGCCATCCCTCTTTCTCACATTTCTAACCTTTTTGTTTTGGTATAGGCTACGCTGGGGATGATTGAGGTCGTTAGCCGGAGGCAGGACCGCCAAGCTGCTATGGATGAGGCGAGAAAGGCGGCGGAAGATAAACAGAGAGAGCTGCAGGAGGAGGTCGCCCACTTCGCAAGAGAGTTGGAGGAGGAAAAGGGTCGCTCTACCGCCCTTGAGACGGAGAAAGCCTCCTTGTCTGCCCGCGTAGCTGAGCTGGAGGGGGAGAAGACCAATCTGATTCAGCAGCTGGAGGCGGAGAAGAGTGACCGGGTCCATCATGTGGAGGAAGCGATCGAGTCCTTCAAGTCTTCTCCTGACTTTGATGCGGTCTCTGTGGAGCGGATGGACAAGCTGGTAGCCGAATGGCTCAAAACCGGTCCTAGTGTCCAGTGGATGTTCAAGGAAGGAAAGAAGTCCTTCAACTGCGGACTCTTTCGCGCTCAGCAGGTTTTCCGCAACAAGCTAGCCCGGCTCCCCAAAGGATTCTCCTTCCCCGACCTTGGTTTTCCTCCCCCTTGCCGCGCCTTGGCTGAGTTCGACCCCAGTCCTTATTTGGACGAGGGGAGCTCAAGTGCCTCTGACGAGGAAGAAGAAGAAGTTGCGCTAAATGACCAAGGTGGGCAGGGCGACCAGGACCCGGGGGCCAACCTAACGACGTCCAAGGCGGGTGGAAGCGCCAACTCGAGCATCTAACCTACCTCGTCTTCCCCTTGTTTATTGCTTTCATCCTGCCTTTCAACTTTGTAAAACTTATGATTTTTGAGATACATTGGTGTTTTGATACAATACTCCCATGTTTGACGTTTTTCTTTATTCATCATGTACCTTCATTTCCTTGTGCTTTGTTACTATATTCTTTCCTTTAAGTTGACTTTCCTTGTGGATAAGGATGAGCCTTTAGTTTGGGCCTGACTTCCATCTCTAGCCCAACTGCACGCCTAGGCCCAGCCTGGGGACTGGTTGCCGTGCCGCCCGATTGACCCAATGCATTTTACACAGCCTTTGATTGGACATTCGCGCGGCTCAAGGTGCCTTTATCGATTCAGCTGCTTTGAGACTTGACCGTCCCTTCAGTTTCTTCACCCGGGGCTATTTATAAGCCCCCCATTCTCCGTTTAGCTCCTCCATCAAATGCCTTCTCTTTTCTCTTTCTCCATTTTTGCCATGTCTCAAGAAGTTCCTACTTCTTTGAATCTTTCTGATGGGCCGGTCCCTTCTTCGCCAGAGCCTGCCTCTTCCCCAAATCTGTTAACTCCAACGACTGGGGGGGGGGGCTAGACCCCTACGAATTCTGCCTCCGGTTGCCTCGCCGGCAATGGCCCTCGGTTAAACCGCTGCCTATTCCGCCAAATCCTTATGACGACTTTAGCGCGGCGTACAAGGCACTTTCAGCCAACCGTCTGCCCAACGGACAGATTGACTGGGATGCCCCATGCCCCACCCACTTATTGCATTGTATGGCTTGGGAGAGCGTGCAGAACGAGCACTTGCCCCTCTTGGAGCATGAAGGAGCGTACCTCACGAGTCTGGAGCAGTGGACTAGCGAGAGTCGCACCAACTCGCCAGTGCGGCTTAAAGAAGAGGTTGTGGTGGGGGAAGAACTGGATTCTTCCCTACCACGCCCCACTGGTCGCTCGCCCCCCCAGAAGGCTCCTAGTCGATCTGGAGCAACTCGAGCGGCTTCAGGGTCTCCATCCTCATCTAAGTGATGCCGATTGGGGCTCAAAGAAAAGAGAGTCGCCCCCCTCCTTCTCTTGCAGGAGAAGGACGGTGGCTTTTGCTACAGCTAGGGGGCGACCATCTCTGTTCCATGTCGGAGAAGAGAGGTGGTCGCTTGTAAGGGTTGGTGATCGGGGTTCCACCGGCTCGCACAGCTGCAGAACTACCCTTCAACTTACATTTTCACTTGTATTTTTCTCGCAGATTTTAGATCTTCCCTTTTGATCGTATGTAAGATGTATGGGAGAATTTCCCCTCTTGAACATTTGTAGAATGTATGGAAGTGGTTCTTAATTGTATTGGATATGTAGATGCAAAAGGTGATTCTTGAAGTGTAATAGACATTTTCATGAATGTACTTCAATGTTACCTGTTTAATTACAAGTCCCATCTTCTTTTCAAGTTATCTTTTGCACATTACCTCAAGCATTCAGGTCTCCTCAACCCTCAGTTGGAGAACACCTTGCTTCCCTTGACTTAGCCATTCTTGGGGCCTTTTTGCTCCCACGGCGTCACCATATTTTCCACAGGTCCCCGGTCGCTCACGCGACCATGGGATCTCGTGTTCTGGACTTAGCCGTTTCTAAGGCTTTTTCGCCACGGTGTCGCCCTTCTCTACTAGGCGTGTTGTCCTACTGGTCGCTCTAGCGACCGTAGATTAAGCACCCTCTAATAGCCTTTGGATTTGGTTACTAGTTGGGTTCAGCACCTCATCCCCCAATGGGTATCTTAGTGTGAATCACCATATGGCTTTTGTTAGCGATCTCTTTGGTCGCTCCTTGCGAATCACCATATAGCTTTTGTTAGCGATCTCTTTGGTCGCTCCTTTTTTATTTTTTTCTTTTTTTGAACGATGGATACTCAAGAAGAGAAGTGCCAAAATGCTGATTTTATTAAACTCAACGGGGAAACATAGCAGGAGTACAATCTATTGATAGAACTTGATGAGATTGGCGGCATTCCATATCCGCGGGACGTCGCCCCCCGCTGGTGTTTGTAGCTTAAAGGTTCCATCAGTCAACATTTCCTTTATGATGTATGGCCCTTCAAAACTTTTGGCAAACTTCCCTCCATCGGTTGGCCGACTGACCTCCCTTTTTCTCAGGACCTAGTCGCCCGCTCTGAACTGCCTCGGTCGCACCCTTTGATCCTGGTACGACTTAACTTGCCGATGGTAGTTCTCTGCTCGGATGTATGCCCTTTCCCTTCGCTCATCTATGAGGTGTAACTCCGCCCTTAGGTTCTCTTCGTTCTCCTAGGCATCAAACGTTTCCACTTTATAGCTTAGCAACGAGGTCTCAGCCGGAGCCCTTGCCTCGAATCCAGACGTGAGCGCGAACGGAGTTTCACCCGTAGCCTTCCTTGGAGTAGTCCTGTAGGTCCATAGGATGTAGGACAACTCTTCCACCCAAGCACTTTTACACTCCATTATTTTCTTTTTCAAGCCATCCACAATGGTGCGGTTGGTATTCTCGACCTGTCCATTGGTGTGGGGGTACCCGACCGTAGCGTAGCTATGTTTTATGCCCCAACTCTGCAGGAACTCATTGAACCCCTTAGCTTCGAATTGGGTCCCATTATTAGTGATGATCTGCTGGGGCACCCCAAAACGGCACAAAATTTGTTTGGACGCAAAATTCCTCATCTGCTCCTCGGTGATGGTTGGTACTGGGGCGGCCTCAACCCATTTTGTAAAGTAGTCGATCGCGACCACCAAGTACATGTCATTTCCTGCCCCTCTGGGCAGGATGCCGACTAGATCAATACCCCACCGAGCAAAGGGAATTGCCGTGCTGATTGGGGTGTAATTCGTCGCTGGTCACCCCGGTACCTTCTAAAACTCCTGGCAGACCTTACACTTACGCACGTACTCTGCACAATCCCAGATGATCGTAGGCAAGAAATACCCCTGCAAGGTTATCTTTCTAGACATCGTAAAGGCTCCTTGGTGCGCTGAGCATATCCCCTCATGGATTTCCTCCATCAATTTCGGTGCTTCATCTCTCCTTAAACACCGTAACAACGTACCATTGTACGACCGCTTATACAACCGACCGCACTCTAGCGTGTAGCTAGGTGCGCGTCGCTTAACGACTTTGGCTGCGACCGGATCGGTTGGTAGCGACTGTTAGTCGGTTTAGTTGTTGTGCCCACGCCTTAAAGGGGGGGTGAATAAGGCGTTTGAAATCTTTTCGGAGTTTGATAAAAACGGTGTTGGCAAATGCGGAAGCAATATATAAAACGCAGAAATAAAAGCGTAAATAAAATGCACACCGATTTTATAATGGATCGGGAAACCCCTATTCCAGTACCTCGAGGCTCCTCCTCAAGGATTTTCGAATCCACTAAGTCCCGGCCTCTTGAACTCCGTCAAAGCACCGCACTAGTTTTGGCAAACAACCCTTGCCAATAGGATTCACTCCGAGATTTCACAACGGCTATCTCGAACCGTTTATAATGAAGATTTAACGGCTATCTTCTACCGTTCCCCCAAGGATTTCAAAGGCTATCCTTGAACCTTTACCCAAGGATTTATACGGCTATCCTCGACCGATACAATATGAGAATCTAACGGCTATTCTCGACCGTATAAAGATGTGTTTGAAAAACACAAACAAGAGTTCTACACAACGGCTTGAATATAAAAATGAAAAACAAAACTTAGCCGGTCTAGAAGGAAATTATAGTCTCTCAAAAATACAATATAAACTTATGAATATGAGAGTATATAACTAGAAACACAAGCTCAAAGTGTGTGTATAAAAATCAGGAATTTAAGGCTCTTGAAATAGCCAAAATATTGAAAATAATTAATCAAAGAATGAACACACTTAGAATATAAAGGGAGGATGTTTAGAGCTTTGTTTCTTACAGAAATATGAAGGATTAGGCTTGTATTTATAGTGGAATATGTTAATTAGCCGTTGGGAGGTGATTAGGGTTGATTTAATTCAAAATCACAAATCAGGAACAGTAACCCAACGGTCACGGTAGGCCGGTACCGTCCTCACGGTAGCAAGGTACCGTGCGTACGGTAGGGGGTACCGTGAGTGGCGGTACCTCGGTACCGTGTAATACAGGACAGCAAACCAATCCGGCTCTGGCGGTACCTGTCCTCTAACGGTATAGAGGTACCGTGTAACACCCTAATCCGTCCAGGTCTGCAGCCCCATTCGGACTAAAGTATTTAACTTGGTAATCGTAAAAATTTAAAACTTTTCAAACACACTTTATTAATCCCAATAATATTTTTCATAACATATACAGTACGGAGTATTCAACAATATCGCGGAAGCGATTTTAATATTGACATATCATAAATTGTTTCAAAACTTGTCACATCCATCCCGACAATCTCGCCCCATCTGCCGCTAGGATCACATTGTGCTTTCTGCTTACCTGCGTGTAGCAAATAAAACACACTACACGCTCAGCGGTAAAGCTGAGTAAGCATATCTAATGCGTCGAACATCCATATAATGCTCTTATAAGGCCAGATTATAACAATGCTCTTAGCTATTCTTAGTCTAAGGCCAAATCATAATAATGCTCTTAGCTATTTTTAGTCTAAGGCCAAATCATAACTTCCATAACCAGATTCTTTTAAGGCAATTATTAATCAGACACTTAAACTATCATTAGTTTAAGGCAATTGATTTCGGACACTTAACTATAGTCAGTTAAGGCAATCAGACACTTAAACTATCACTAGTTTAAGGCAATGATTCGGACACTTAACTGTAGTCAGTTAAGGCAACAACAATATAGCAAATGATCAACATATGATCGGGCATTCCCAAACGAGTGATCTCTAGTTTGGACTACGAATCCCGTTTATGCATTTTTATCTAATCCATCATTTATTCATGTTTTCATAAGTTCATTCTAAGATTTATTCTAGAGGTTTTCTAGATAGTTTTAACATCAATTAGCTAATAGGTATATCTTAAAGTCTTCTAGATATCCTTAACAATACAAATCGTTTAATAATTATCAATATATTCGTTATACTCATGGCTCAATCATCAATAATCATTTTGATTAGTTAGTTCATCATTCATGATCATCCATAATAATCATTCATCATAATCATTAATCCACATAACAATTGATAACAAATAGCGGTCTAGTTTTGAGTGTTAACACCCTAGCTTACCGTCATGCATCACATAATGTTTTATATGTCAAAAACATCATTTTTATTATACAAAATCATATTTATATTGTGCATAATTAATTGGTATCAAAAATAGGATTTTAGAGCATATTTTTAGGAACATTTTCATCTAGATTTGAGGAAAAATAATTTAAAATTATCAATTAATTTATAAAAATTGATTTATATAATTTTATATAACCCATTAATTCATAATAATCGATTTTTACAATTTAAATAATGAATTAATTCATTATAATCGATTTTTACAATTTAAATAATCAATTAATTCATTATAATCGATTTTTCCAATATAAATAATCGATTAATTCATAAAAAATCGATTTTTACAATTTAAATAATCCATTAATTCATAATAATCGATTTTTACAATTTAAATAATCAATTAATTCATAATAATCGATTTTTACAATTTAAATAATTGATTAAATGGTACTGACTTCGAACCACTGATCTGAATAAAATTCTAATCGATTTTTAGTAAGTAAATAATCGATTTTCGACCACTGTTCATCATCTTCTTCCCCGGGTCAGTTTTAACATTATCATTTTTTAATCACCAAACTTCAATTTAATTATATAAAAATGTTCTCCAATGTTCACAGATCATTTTAGAGTCATTAATTCGTAATTTTAACAACAATTTCATGGTTTATGATTCTTGGTTCTTCAAACATGTCAAAAACAAAACTCAATCAAACGACCATTTATGAACGTAGAAACGATCTATATGAACATTCTAGTCACTAGATATATCTACGGGCTTACCTCAAAGCTTATCAAAGGTTTTGAGAATTTTCCGGCGAAACTTCCAGCGACGATTACTCTCAGCTCCGGCGACCTCTCACCAAATTGACAACAACAATGAACTCTCCACTAAACAAGGAACACAATGATACTAAACTTACTATGTTTTGGTGCAGAAATGGAAGCTGGTTTTTCCTCCTTATATAGGAAAA